GGCGGCGTTTAATACGCGCAGGAAGGTCCGCAGTGTCCTCCATTATAAGGTAAACAACGCCGGACATGAGCTGTGTTGCTTTTGGAGACTGTGAACCACATTATGATATTAATTTTCTGTGTGTGTCCTCATAATCTTGTGCCACACACACACACACACCGATTTCTCCCCTGAACAGATGTCTGCTCGCAAAGGCAAGAGCTCCAATGCGGAGAACAGGTGCACAACAGGTTGTGATATGAATTTTGTATATTTATATACTGTAATTAAATAATTTAATTACCTGATCTTGCATATTTATACAATCTACATAATCAATCAGAAGTGGTCGTTTTTATCATCAGGGAGTTTACTTCAACACTTTGTATTGACTGAGAGACAAGAAGAGAGAGAGAGTTGGGATCGTTTAAGAATCTTTAATTTCTATAATTATAAATTCTTACAATCTACCAGGACTATCTCAATGATGGATGCGTATGGATGTAGATGGTTCGGTTTGGTGTGTGTGTGTGTGTTTTGTTCAGAATCTCTAGGCTGAGTAGCGAATCTGGTTGTTTTGACTAGGCTACCACGAGGCTTCAGAAGCTGATGACATGAGCCGCCATTTTGCCGTATTTACGTACCCAGGAAGAGCCTCCCGTGTAGATCAGGAATTGCCAGGTCTCGGACCTTCAGCGATACTGGAGCTGGTTGAGACAGCGATCACAGCAAACAACGCCCGTCTGAAGGGTCGACTCAGGTAGCTCGGCAGGCGTCAACAAGTTCACTCTTATTTTGAAGGACCGCCGTCTCGTTGGTATAAACGACGGAAAATCTCAAGCTTGACAGATTTCAGCTCAAAGTAGGAAGTCAAGCTGGCCAGTCTGAACTTCTTAATGATGACGATGGAAATCCTTAGGAACTCGGATGTCCGGGAGCTGAGTTTAATACGTAACTGCTGAAAGTGGAACTGAACGTGGAACTGACTTAAAATGGCGTTGCCTTCTTTTTATATCTCCCAGTTGTTTGGGAATCTTAGTAAACCGGATTGGACTACTGTCATAAACAACCCAGATTCTGCCCTACCACAGACGAAAGGTCTGATTGGTTGAAAACAATGTGTCATGTGTTTCTATGGTAATGTATATCAGTCTGTCTGGTGCAGCCCTGTTTATTCATTAAACACATAACTCATGACATCTTTATTTCACAGATCATTCACCTGATTATTAATGATCAACAAATGCTTTGATTAGCTTATCACAAATGAAGTTCTTCGATTAACCCATGAAAAGCGTTCTTCTTCTGTTCTTCTGTCTCTTCTCCTGGAATGTAAACATACTGAACCAAGCGTCCGACCTTGGTGATGGTACTGTGTGAAGGGGCAGCTGTTAAGGGCAGACCATTATACTTCCTAACGCTACACATCACACACACACACACACACACACACACACACACACACACACACACACACACACACACACACACACACACACACACACACACACACACACACACACACACACACACACACACACACACAGAGCTATTCTGTTCTCCCGTTCCCACACTGATTGGCAGCTCCGGATCGGCAGCTCCATGCTTCAGACAGAAGTTTACTCAGCAGCATCCAGCATGAAAATGAATCGCGCATGCAGCAATGCTGGCTCATTCTTCTCGCAGGTCGGAGGCGGTAGGCATAATTTCAGCTGACCAATCAGTCCGTAGTGTCGCCTCGGTCCCAATCTGACCGCCGGGGATGTCTGAGAAAAAGAGTTGCCTCAGCACCGTGTGTGAAACCAAATTCCGGTGTCGTTCTGAACCTTTTGGCGCCGTGCTGACGCCAATGCGTAAGCGCCAAAAGTCTCACGACTGGCCAGTGAGCGCCAGAGGAGCTGGCCCAAGTGGCTGGGAAGAGAGAAGTCTGGGCCTCCCTGCTTAGGCTATTGATCACATGACCCGACCTTGGATAAGCGGCCGAAATGGATGGATGGTTAAATCCTATGTAAAGGTATTAACTAGTGTTTACTTCGACCAAGAATCTTTTTTTTTTTTTTTGAGTTTAAGGTTTTTGGCAAAGACAGAGTAGGGATCAGTTTATGTGATGGGAAAGACTCTCGGCTAAAGCTTTGTACCAAATCCTGGCTCAGTATCTAAAAATCAGCTATGTTAGTGTGACAGGATGAGCGTCCTGTCACTGTATCCTGACTGATCTTTTCCCCTTGCTACTTGGCCACATGGATGTCCCTTTGGCTGACTGGTTAGTGCACATGACTCTCACCTGGGAGTCTGGGGCTTGAATCTCACCTGGGCCCTCCTTTCTCCACCTTGCCACATTAACAATGTCTAAGCTGTGGCAGCCATCTTGAATGGGATACACCTGATGATCACTTTCTAAATGTTTTGTGAAAATGTGTGTATTTGTTCATGGCAGACACGCAGGTATAAGCATAAACAGGATCCCACATCTTTCACTTTTCAGCAGCAGGCAACAAGAAAATTGAGCCAGAGGACTAAAAAGAAACACATCCTCTCACTTATCCTTCAGAAGAACTGTAGGTTTTAGCAGCACTCTACTTATTTTTAGCCATGTCTGTGCTGTAGTGGAAATGTGTAGGTGTTGTTTTCCAACTCAGGCAGAGGCGGAGCTGGCCTAAATGGCGCCCTGTGCGAGATCCCCCTGTGACCCCCCTCCCCCCCCCCGACTCCCCCCCCTACCAGCTCGCCACTTCAATATGAAGAAGATCAGTTCAACATGGGGAAAAAAACCTGACCTGTAGGCCAGAGAAACGTTCATTAGCACATCAAGTTCTATTCAGTTTACCGGTAAACATATCACGAATGTACAACAGGTCAATTATTAATCATCTTGGCTACGTAGCTCAATCTATGCATTCCAGTAGCGTTTGCTACAAACAAATACAAAAACAACAATAAAGGAAAACAACTGTCTGACAGACAGCATAGCCGAATTCAAGGCAACACATAACAATAAACATTCGATTGCTCTTGGTTTCAAGTTAAGCCCATTAAAGTGCTTAAGTAGATAAAAGTGGTTCAAAAACAGTGAACCGGAGTTCTGCTCGCGGTGGGAACTCCGCCGAACAAGGTCATTTTTTATAGCGAAAACCATCGACTGGTCACTGACAAGTAAAAGGGTGTTATTGGTAGATGTTAAGAACACTCACCGCTGAGGTAAAATGAGAGTATAAATGAATTGAGGGGAGAAAAACGCTTTGTTTTCCAACGCCGTTCTAAAGCAACAAGCTTACAGCCACAGCAGGAGTCGAGCCCGGAAGTATTCCCCCACAGCCAGCTTTGCCGCGACGTGGAAGGAGCCAATCAGGAGAGGGACCTCACAACAGCTGACGTGGGTCATGTGACAGGGAGTAGTTAATATGGGTTACACTTTGTTGTGCTTTTATTACAGAGATAGTATTATTATCATCACTATTATTATTAAGAACATGCGATTTCTATGTTTTGTTTATGTATTGGTTGATGCTAAAAAAATTTTTTTTAGAAAAAATAAAAGGAAATTAAATGCCGCCCCCTGCAGACTGCCGCCCTGTTCGGCCGCACATGTTGCACATATCAAGCTCCGCCACTGAACTCAGGTAATGAATGCATAAGTCAAACACCTGGTGAAACCCACTCAGTGTTTGATTTGGGTCTTGAATTGCAACATCGAAACACAAGTCTTTTAAAAAATTTACCTCAGGTGGTGTTAGCTCAGTGGAGCCTTTCTGTTTATTCTCTCAGAACAGCACCACTGCCACCTCCCCTCATTCACCAGCAGGATTCTTTTAATTTGAAATCAAGCATCCCCCTGAAAACTGAACACAGCAATCCAGCTCAGACTGAACTGACCTAGTTCACATGATGTGATGTGTGGAGATCAGAGCTACATTTGGATCCAGCCTTCATTCTCTTCAGAATTATTAAAGCTGGTGCTCCCTCCTCATTGCTCGTGAGCAACTCTTCCTTTCACACAGTACATTAAAAGATATATTTTATTGCAGGTTTTACAGTTCTCCATACAGCAATCACAAGGCCATCCCAATATGAACACATCACTTTACACCTGTAAATGATTCAAGGAGCAGTAAATCATTAAACAGCTGCTCATTCCCAGCGCTTTGTTTATGGAGCTCATTGGTGTTTTGTTTGCAACGCCTGGTTTACGTGAATTTCTAAGACAGGGTCACTTTATAGACGTTTCATTTTTCAGTCAGCAGTGATGGTGTCTGCAAATATTTAGAAAACAAAGATGAAAACATGAAAGAGCTTCTGCTGCCACCTGCTGGTCACAGATCTGGGGACTGATTCTGACACAAGCTGCTTTTCTTAAGTTTCAGAAGAATCGTATTCTTCCTTTTACTTTCTGAACGGTTTTTCTTCACTGGTGTCTAACTCGGCTGTCATCTGGTGAGAGGTGGGGGTCACCCTAAATAGGTCCGGGACAATTTAGGGTTGTCAGTTAACTTAGCATTCATTGGTTGGTCTGTGGGAGGACACTGGAGTACCTAGCATGCATGGGGAGAACATGCTGACTCTATTCAGAAAGGACCCAGGTGGAATTTGAACCTGCAACCTCCTCGTCTTTTAAGCTGCATTTCCATAATTGATGGTGATTTCTCACAGACACACATTTGTGCGTACTTTTAGCTTGTTGGGTTTCCCCCCTTGTTGGAACATTGAGACAACCTGGTTTAAATTGCACAAGTCACATGACTAACTTCACACAGTATATGCATTCAACGAGGAAGAAAACGAGAATTCTAAGTAATGGAATGACTAAAACCATCATAGATATATTTATGTAACTAAAACTGAGGTTGTAGTCGAACGGCGTGTTTCCAAGTTGCAGTTTTAAATGTCCTTTTGAATCATGACCAGGGAAGCGTCTTTCCAGGGCTCATTAAAACTGGCTCCGGGCTGCTCTACGTCACTAAATGAATAATTAACAGCTGTGTCGTGCACTGGTTCGGCCATCCTCGGTTTGTAACATCGGCTCCGCCCAATCGGGCGGTGAAGCCTCTGATTGGTGAACGCGGAGCACAGCCCGCAGCAAAGGAACCGACGAAGAACGAACCAGTGGGGTAACTGGTGTAAAATGGCGCTGTCTCAAGGAACAAAGAAAAAAGTTTGCTATTACTACGACGGTAAATATTTAATTCGAATAACTCAAATTTTCTGATAATTAAAATAATTGTTGAAACATTTAAAGATTCAGGGAATTGTTTTGTGTATTGTGGTTTTAAGTGTGCAGAACGGCCAAGCTAACAAGCCGGTGTGGTGAGCTAACGTTAGCTTGGTGGATTAGCTAACTAGCTTGTTTTAGCTACATTTGGTTAGCCTAACTGCATGGAGTACATTACCAAGTCTTCGGTTCCATTTCAAGATATTTCATCCAATCAATCAACTTTTGTAAAACTACTGCGGACAATGTTGGGCTGTGTTGTTTTTGTGAACTAATAGTCTTAGTCTATGGGCATAATGGAGCTATCAAGCTAACCGGTGATGTTAACCAGTGTGTTCCTCCAACTGGCTAACAACTTCCGATCACTGCGTGATGAAAGATACAACAATTTCAACTTTGATGCACTTATGTGGCCAAAGGGTTTCTGAGAACGATTACTAATAACTTGAATCCACCTCTCTGTCATTCTGAATATGTACAATTAATTGTGCAATTAATGTCATGGCTAAGTACACAATGTGCTAAGTAATCCCTCTTCTTTATTCCGCAAATGCAACATTAGTGCAGAATAAGTGTTTACATTTTATAATTTCCCCCATAAAATCTTTTTGGTATAAAATAAATGACCAACCTCGGGTCATACCGAAGCATCGAGTCCTGCTTCCTATTAGCTTGTAGTGGGCTGGCTGGTGGAAAACTAAAGTTACAGACAAAATACTCACGTTAGTAATTAAATGTGAGGTAATTTACCACAATAACAGCAGGATCACTGGTGTGCAGGAGGGTTTTGATGTAATGTCATTCATGTAAATTCCCCGTTTACATAATTGTGTGACATCTGGATTTGTTTTGAATAATGGGGCAAAAGATAAGTGTAGCCATCATTTAAAATCTGTTTTCACATTGTATGGCCTACAGGTGATGTGGGAAACTACTACTATGGCCAAGGTCACCCCATGAAGCCCCACAGGATTCGCATGACACACAACCTCCTCCTAAACTACGGACTGTACAGGAAAATGGAAATCTATGTGAGTCAAACAGGCCTTGAATATTGCATTGTCATCAGTTTGGATGATTTTGGATTTTCTTTCAATCACAGAGCACACTATGTGCTTTAGCATCTCATCCACAATTATCTAAACTTGTTAGCATCACTAAGGACCGTGAGGATGTGAAACGTATTTGAGCTATGTTGTAGTCTTTAGTGAGATGTATATGATGCCATTCTGTAAGCAGTGGCCTAGTCTGCACATCTTTGCTCTTGGTGAGCAGTACATGAAGTAAATCTAATTGGTTTAACCAGAGCAGAAACTATTAGTTGAGATAATCATGGACGTAGAGTGTTCAATAGACAACCCTGGGCACAAAGAACCACCATTTATTTTATTTTTGTAAAAGCATGACTTGAACATCTGAAAGGAATTTTGCAGGACCACTGCAGTACACAAACCGTGTGTGTGATATTCACGGCCTCGGATTACATTGTTGTTTAAATTCTTTCTTTCTTTTCTCCCCATTCTCCTCTGTGATGTCAGCGACCACACAAGGCCAGCGCCGAGGAGATGACAAAGTACCACAGCGACGACTACATTAAGTTCCTGAGGTCCATTCGCCCAGACAACATGTCTGAGTACAGCAAACAGATGCAGAGATGTATGTCCCGTTCCCCCTCACCGACGGTGTCCTCGAACCTGTTTCTGCCGCATTGATGGCATCTTGTTGTGTCCCTGCAGTTAATGTCGGGGAGGACTGTCCGGTGTTCGACGGTTTGTTTGAGTTCTGCCAGCTCTCAACAGGCGGTTCTGTGGGTACGTAGTTGCTGCTTGTTCCTGGTGCAGATGAAGGAAGAAACATGGTTTCATTTTTAGTCTTTGGTTTTTTTATCTTAAGCGGGAGCCGTGAAGCTGAACAAGCAGCAGACGGACATCGCCATCAACTGGGCTGGTGGACTCCATCACGCCAAGAAGTCCGAGGCGTCTGGTTTCTGCTACGTCAACGACATCGTCCTGGCCATCCTGGAACTGCTCAAGTAAAATTCCTGCTTTTTGTTCGTACTGACACCGACCTGAATGAGAAACCAACCACCAGCTGTGGTGTCATTAACCTGCGACTTTTCCAGATATCATCAGAGAGTGTTATACATAGACATCGACATCCACCACGGTGATGGAGTGGAGGAGGCTTTTTACACCACAGACAGGGTCATGACCGTCTCGTTCCATAAGTATGGAGAGTACTTCCCTGGTACTGGAGACCTGAGGGTGAGTGTGTCACTTATTTAGCTCCTGAAACATGATGGCCAAAAACAGTGCAGTAATGCAGCCAAACACGTGTGTGTGTGTGTGTGTGTGTAGGACATTGGAGCAGGAAAGGGGAAGTACTATGCTGTAAACTACCCACTTCGGGATGGCATTGATGACGAGTCGTATGAAGCCATCTTCAAGCCTGTAAGTTTTATTTTTGGGAGGATTAAAAAAATAATTTAATCAACAAATGTAATGTCACCATGTTTAACCGTCTCTCTAGATCATGGCTAAAGTGATGGAGATGTACCAGCCTAGTGCGGTGGTTCTGCAGTGTGGCGCAGACTCCCTCTCAGGTGACCGTCTGGGCTGCTTCAACGTCACCATCAAAGGTATTAAACATCTCACTCTCGGAAGGGAAAGGATGCTCTGGAGTCTGAACTAAACCCGTTTGTCTCAACTTTCCAAAGGCCACGCAAAGTGTGTCGAGTACATTAAAGGTTTCAACCTCCCTCTGCTGATGCTCGGTGGAGGAGGATACACCATTCGCAACGTGGCCCGCTGCTGGACCTACGAAACTGCTGTCGCCCTGGACTCCTCCATCCCCAACGAGCTGCCCTACAACGATTACTTTGAGTACTTTGGGCCCGACTTTAAGTTGCACATCAGCCCGTCCAACATGACCAACCAGAACACCACTGAGTACCTGGAGAAAATCAAACAGCGTCTGTTTGAAAACCTTCGCATGCTCCCACATGCACCTGGTGTGCAGATGCAAGCCATCCCTGAGGATGCGCCTCACCCAGACAGCGGAGATGAGGATGAGGAGGACCCCGACAAGCGAATCTCCAGTGGGACTTTTATACACGAATTTGATCAATTTGTAGTATTTTTTTTTTGTTTAAATCAGGATAAAGGTAAATATTTGTGTTTCAGTTCGGGCACATGACAAGAGGATAGCCTGCGAGGAGGAATTTTCAGACTCTGAGGATGAAGCAGAGGGTCAGGGGGGAGGTCGCAGGAATGCAGCCAACCACAAAAAGGTCAAAAGAGTGAAAAAGGAAGAAGAGAAAGAAGGAGAGGAGAAGAAAGGTAAGAAGAACCCACTAAGTAATATTTAAAGGTTCTTGAATATTTTAATTGTTCCTGATGGCTTTCTAGAAGTGAAAGAGGAAGACAAAGAAGAAGAGAAGATGGATACATCAGGGTAAGAGTAAATGAGAGCACTGATCTGCTGTCTGACAGGAAGTAGTCTAAAGCTAGTCATCTGTGTTTCAGACCAAAAGAGGAGATGAAGACATCTTGAGTCTGGTGCATAAGTAGATGTTCTGTTGTCCTTCTGCCTCCATCGTCCTCCAAGACTTTTCTTTTGTTGTGTTTACATGCAAACCTGACGTACTCCCGTTTCCAACTCACACTCAGCATCAAGTGATGTCATCTGATCATTGATTCAGCAGTTACCTTTAGAATGTCTCACCTGTTAGATCAATCCCACCTGGCACTTCATCGCTGTGAGCGGACGTGTGACTCAGGTGTGCTGTCATCAGAAACAATCCCAGTTATTCCTGATTTAAAGCTGCAGGTTAAATACCTGCTGGAGCACCAGTGGTCTCCAACGCAGCCTTGGGTTCATGCATGCTTAGCGGTGAGGCCTTTAGCATGTACATATTCTTACCAACAGCCCTGCTCTGCTCCTTAAGTTATTCTGAACAGCAGCCCCCAACTGTAACATCTGGTCTTTTTCCTCATCTTGTGTTTCGGTATGAACGTGTGAACCTCTTCAGAGGTTAATGGTGAGTAAATGACTTATTTTAGATATTTTTTTACCATCATAAGTGGAGTTAGCCACTGGCTGTTTGCAGTTGTACTCTTGTGAAATGTGCATTATCATCTTTGTTATAAAAATAAAGAAAAATGACCCACCCTGTAGCCGACTTAATGACGTTAGTAATTCAGCTTTTCTGCATCTGTCATTCATAATAAAACCTTCCACCTGCTTTCATTGGTACCATCCAGTTCATATGTATAGACCTAAGCTTCAAGTCTTGCTTCAAAAGCCTTAAGAGTAAATCCATGATGGAAAAGAACAGCAACTCTCCTCTTATGACTTTTTATTGGAATCGGAAGTTAACAAGGTAAACAGAAGCCAAGATGAAACTTCAGATCTTAAAGGAAGCTGGAGGTGATCAGCTGACCAGACTCCAGACAGTTAAAGCGATCAGGTCCAGATGCTTGGCCGTTTACACCTCCAGCTCAAAGTCAAAGTACTGTGGGTCAAAATAGTGAATTCTTACATATCCGTCTTCTCCTCCACTGCTGTAGCTGTAAGCAGAAGGAGGGGCGTTAGCAGGGATCATTAAGCTAAGCATCAATCCGAATTACAGACCATTTGTACCTTTTGCCATCTGGGTGAAAGGCCACACAGTTTATGGGTCCGAAGTGACCTTTGACCCTTCCAAACTCCTCCTCATAAGCAGCATGGAAGAACCTAAACAACACGTTAGCTACAGGTGTTATGTTTTTAACCATTACTGTTTGTATATGCCCGTAGTAAGTTACTTGTGTTTAACTAACCTGGCCTCAAACTTGCCGATCCTGGTAGACGTAGTAGTGACCTCCATGGCTTCTTGTCCTCCGCCCATCACCACCTGAACAGTGATAACTTAGTCACATCACCATAACAGCATCAAAACAGCATCCTCGTGATCTTACATGATCCATGATGGGAGAGATGGCTGCAGAGTTGACGGGTCTCTCCGTCCTAAATGTCTTGATGTGATCCAGAGAAGTGGAATCAAACAACTAAAAAGACAAAAGAGTTCATTTAATAATTAAATCTAAATAAATGTTCTGAACACATTTAGCCACAGGCTTGTCAAAAGCCTCGTAGAGAAAAGCAGTTGGGGCTCTTACTTTGGCGGTGTTGTCCTTGGAGGCGGTGATGAACATGGTGTTATCTACTGATGACTGGATGTCATTGATCTGCTTGGTGTGCTCCTTGATCTTCTTCAGAATGTCACCAGACTGGCCAAGATATGGACAGGTCGGTTACAACCAGCAAACTACTTTTTTGTTTCTAGTTTCGGACTTCATAAATGCCGAACCTTGGCGCTGAACTGGTTTATCTCCCCGTTCTCATGACCCGCAATGACGAACTCTCCCAGAGGTCCCCAGACAGCACTGGTTATCTTGTGTTCACTGCAGGGAATGGACAGGTAGGGCTGGTTGTCCTCTGTGGAGACAAACACTTTACTTTAAAACCAAGTAAACTACGATACAGCAAAGCCAGACACACACAAACTACTCAGTTCTTCCCCGACTTGATGTTGGGTTAGGTCTGAGGAAAAGGACACGTCCTTGACCAGAGCAAAACATTTGTGCTAATCTACAATTATGGTGAAAATTTAAAGGCAGTTCTGGTATGTCCTCTACAACGAAAACGTGTCATCAATTCCTTTTAATGCACACTAGCCTGTAGCTGCTGCAAACATCCTTATAGCTCCCAACATCACACTAGGGTTGTCACGGTAACCGGTGTAGTGGTAAACCCTGGTAAAAAAAAAGTTGACGATACAGGATTTTTCCTGGCTCAAACTGAGGCGGAGCCATCCTGACCGTGCACCAGCACATGCATACTCTGTGCATTCAACTACCTCACTTTTTTAAAGGCAAAATATTATAAAAGGCTCAATAATATGCATTAGATTGGTGTTTACTTCCCTTTTCCCCATCTTTATAGTTAAAAATGTTTAAATTTTTGACCTACATTTCAGTAACATTTTAGGTTTGTTTTAATAACACTAATCTTAGTCAAAATAACCCAAATATATCCAGTAAAATATAATGTATTTCATTAACATGCATTTGTGTTGGAAATTCAATTCAAAAATACTTTATTAATCCCAGAGGGAAACTGATTGCTGTAGTAGCTCAGAATAATAATAATAATCAAGTCATCAAAGAGTTGTTGTATATTACAACGGCTGTTGGCAGGAAGGACCTCCAGCAGAGATCTTTCATCCAGAAAGGGTAGTAATATTTAATTAAATTTCTTTTTGTGCTCTACATTTTATTTATTTCTACTCTGTACGGAAGATGATTAGAGCCACTGACAAGAAAAAAAAGAAAAGAAAGAGAAATTTTACTTTTTTCTCAGAATTCTGACTTTTAATCCCGGAATTCTGACAGGGAATTCTGGGAAAAAACAGAATTCTCTTTCTTTGCTTTTTTTTCAGTGGCCCTAATCCTCTTCTGTACCTCTGACTTTACAGAGGGAGCTGACCTTTGTTTAATACAAATTGTCTTTTCGTGAGGAAAATTTAACATCCGACTCCCCTGAACTTCTTCACACTAGCTGTCTGTCTGTCTGTCTGTCTGTCTTTACTGCTGACAGACAGACAGACAGAGTTACAGCTACATGTCACACAGGAACTTTTAATTATAATTAATGTAAATGTATTAAAATTACATCTAGGGGTGGGCAACATCATGTCATTCATAATATTTGTACTGAATGTTTGCACTGATTGCCGATCACGCTTCAACTGAGTTGTCCTCGGTCAGAAGGATTGGCACTCCACAGTGATGTAGTCCAAGTAGTTTTATTAAAGAGGTAGCAGATGACATCAACAGGTGAGGCAATTGCATTCCCATCTATGAATGCAGGTAAAGGGAGTCTGAGTGTGCAGGAGTATGTGGGTGTGGTAATATGATAAACACGCACACCAAGGGTAACTCACACAGGAACGCACGAGAAAAACGCTGATCATCCAACACCTTTCAGCTGTGCTGAACTGCGCTAAACACGTTCCCAAGGGGAAGTACAGATACCGAGGTGCATCATGGGTAATGTAGTCTAAACGGTGTTCACAAACATTTTTCCTCTGGAAAGCGGACTTTTAACAGCCGCTCCTGTATTTGTATGGACACAAATACACACATGCTGAAGTCAATCTATTGCGGAACAGTATCATCTAAGTCCTCAGGCACTTTGGGGAGTCCCACTAGCTTAGTCACCGGGCGAACATAGAGACTGTCTTTAACCTTGACTTCGGCAGCCCGAACAACACCATCAGTCCCTGGGAAAACTTGGGAAATGGTACCCACAGGCCATAGGCCTCTAGGCAGATTAGAGTCTACAATCATAACAGCTTGTCCCACGGTCATGTTGTCAGTGGACTTCCTCCATTTCTGTCGGAGTTGCAGTCCTGGGAGGTAGTTCTGTATGAACCGCTTCCAGAAGTGGTCACTGATGACCTGGCTGTGTATCCATCTTCTGGTCGAAAGAGTGCCTGAGGGGCCGTAGACTGCCTGGGGTAGTGCCGAATCACGCCGCCCCATCAAGAGAAGATTTGGTGTGATGGGATCTGGGTCGGCTATGTCAGCCGATGCATAGCCAAGCGGTTTTGAGTTCAAAATGCCCTCAACCTCTATGAGAGCTGTGAGTAGGACTTCTTCTGCCACAACTTGGTCCTTCAGGACTACTTGCAGAGCTGACTTCACTGCTCTGATTTCCCTTTCCCAGGCTCCTCCGAAATGAGGCGAGTGTGGGGGATTGAAGCAGAAGTTGATAGCCTGTGTGGCTAGTTGCTGCTTGAGGTCAGGCTCCATGTTTTCAAACGCTGCTTGGAGTTCTCTATGACCACCTCTGAAATAGGTTCCTTGATCAGACCACATCTCGTATGGCTTTCCTCTGCGTGCGATAAATCTGCGTAATGACATAAGGAAGGAATCCGTGTCAAGACTAGGGAGGAGATCGAGATGCACACATCTAGTTGTAAGACACTTGTAGATAATTCCCCAGCGTTTCTCTCTTCTACGACCTATCTTTATCGTGTATGGCCCGAAACAGTCTACGCTCGTTGACCAGAACGGGGGTTTATAGAGTCTCATCCGTGAGGAAGGTAAATCAGCCATCTTGGGTGTAGAAGGTGTGGCGCGCCATCTCCTACAGTCCACACACTGGTGCTGGTGTTTCTTAATGGCTTGACGTCCTCTGAGAATCCAATAGGTGCGCCTTATCTCCGCAAATAGCCTCTCTGCACCTGGGTGAAGGAGCTGGTCATCATAAGTCCTTATGATGAGCTTGGTCAGGGGATGTTCAGCTGCTAATACGATGGGATGAATACTGTCTGGATCCAAGTCTGCGGCTTGACGAAGGCGGCCTCCGACTCTGATGAGACCAGTAAGACTGTCATATTCAGGGGACAGCGTGCTAAGACGGCTGTCTGAGCGGACTGGGCGACTGGTCTGGAGGGCTTTGGTCTCCTCTGTGAAGCTGTCGGTCTGAGCTGAGCGGAGCAGCATGGTCTTGGTTTCCAGTCGCTCCGCGGCTGTAATAGGAGTGTCGGCCGCCCCGTGTAGGGTCCGGTACGTAGCAGCAATCAGCTTATCTAGTGAGGCATACTGCATTGGATCCGGCAAGGTTGGGGATACAGAAGCGTGCCCACAGAATGCAGTCCTCCTGAGCTCTGCTTCATTGCAGGCTGGAAACTCTGTTGGCAGCTTAGGCCAAGTGTCAGCGGCTTGTAATAGGAAAGGTGGACCATGTGACCAACGATTGGGGGCTGTTAGGTCAGCGAGATGTTTCCCTCTGGTGATGTCATCAGCAGGATTGAGCTCAGAGGTCACATATCGCCACTGTTCAGGAGATGTCAGCTCCTGTATTGCACAGATTCGAGTCCCCACAAATACCTTATAGCGACAGGAACTAGATTGGATCCACTGCAGCACCGTGGTAGAGTCTGTCCACAGGTAAATCGACTGTATGGGAACAGTAAGCTCTGTCTGGAGTAATCTGGCCAATTGGGCTCCTGTGAGTGCTGCGCAAAGCTCCAACCGGGGCACTGACACCTGCTTGCGTGGGGCCACTCTGGAGCGAGCCATCAGGAATGATGTGATGATGGGCCGTTGCCGCTCGATTACCCTGAGATAAGCCACAGCCCCATAAGCCTTTTCCGATGCGTCACAGAATACGTGAGCTTCGTATGTCACATTGCTGGAGTTATGAGGAGGAGCGTAGCAACGGGGAATGGTGACATGCTGAAGGTGTGACAGTTCGCCTTCCCACTCAAGCCAGGACTGAAGTAGATTCCCTTCGATGGGCTCATCCCACCCTCTTTCTGTGCTCCACAGGGCCTGTACAATCAGCTTGGCCCTTGTAGTGTAGGGACAAATATAACCTAGTGGGTCATACTGGGTAGCTAGTACCTTGTACACATTGCGCAGCGTGACCGTGGAGTAGGTGATAGGGCGGTGCTTATATCCCAGGACATCTGTCGGACAGTGCCAGCTAAGTCCTAAAGTTGACTCTTGTGAGTCGAGACCTTTGAAGTTCAGCCAAAGTTCACAGCTCTCTGATCGAGCTGAAGCGGGCAGGTGAGCAACTACTTCGGGCACGTTGCTCGCCCACTGTCGTATATCAAATCCTCCCTGAATGAGTAAATCTCTCATCCGGTCGATGAGCTGTTTTGCTTCTTCTGGGTTGAACAGAGATTGTAAACAATTATCCACGTAGAAGGCTGTGTGGACTGAGTCACAGATGTCTTTGTGGGTTTCTTTGTGCTCCCTAGCATGTCTCTGTAGGGCGAACGTAGCACAGCAGGGGCTACATGTCGTTCCGAAGGGCAAAACTCTCCACTCATATGTCTGGGGGCCGATCCGTTTCACAATCCCTCCACAGAAACCGTAGCAGGGGACAATCCTCTGGGAGCAGCCGAACCTGATGAAACATGGCTTTGATATCTCCACTCACGGCTACAGGGTGTTGGCGGAAGCGGAGTAATACCCCCAGCAGAGTGGGCCCCATGGGAGGTCCTGGTAAGAGGCAGCGGTTCAGGACGGACCCCTGAAACTCAAACGAACAGTTGAAGACCACTCTAGCCTTATTGTTGTGATGTACTATGTGGTGCGGTACATACCATGACTCAGAAGAGCTATGTGTCTCATCTGGGCTCAGCTTAGCAACATAGCCAGACTCTACTAACCTGTGGATCTCCTGGTTGTATGTATGGGTCAGATCAGGGTTCTTGGCCAGCTTACGTTCAGTAGATCTGAGGAGGCCCTTTACTGCTTCAGGGGAGACACACAGACGTGGAAAGTCTCTTCTTCTCAGCAGAGGAGTGGCATATCTCTCGACACCATCTACTGGGACTCTGAGGGTCTTTGTTTCCAACGTAGCCACTGCCTCTCTGTCCTCCTTTGACCGTGTGACCTCCTTCTCTGTCCTATAGG